CACACACAGACTTCACCATCACACGGCTTCACCATCACACAGACTCCATCATTGCACACAGACTTCACCATCACACACAGACTTCACCATCACACAGACTTCACCATCACACACAGACTTCACCATCACACACAGACTTCACCATCACACAGACTCCATCATTGCACACGGCTTCGTCATGTCGGTTCCAGGAGTAGATCTCAGGTCATCAAGCTTGTGAAGCCAGGCTTCTGCCCTCTGAACCATCCCCCTAGGCCCCAAATTCAAAATACTTAAAAGCAAAGAGAGTAGTGCAGTCGACACCCACAGACGTTTACCTGGACGTGTTCATCAGCCGGTGGAGCCTCGCTGCGTCCTCCCTCTGTCCCTGTCTCTGTTTCTTTCTCTTACCTCTGCCCTACCCGCACCCTTTTGCCTGGGCCATCTCTCTAGATATTTGGCACAAGGTCATTCTTCTATACAATAACCATGTTATGAAATTTATCAGCAACACAGTACCGTTACCTAATGCAGTTGGTTCCCAGACATTTCATACCGTCCCAACAGCAGCGACATAACTATGTGTGTTTAAAGTGCATGAAGACTAATATACAGGTGGGTGTGGTGATGTGTACAAGAGGCAGAGGCAGGAGGATCTCTGAGTTCAAGGCCAGCCTGGTCCACCTAGTGAGTCCCAGGCCAGTTAGGGCTACATAGTAAGACCCTGACTCAAAACAACAGTAACAACACCACCAAATACCCCGCAAGCAAAACAAAAATCCTAATAAATGTAGCTAACAGGTTCTACTGTGCATTGGTGGTCTTGCCTGAATCAATTTTTTCTAATAGTTGTTTTACTGTCCTTTCTTCTTATTAGTCTTTTCTGTTAGAAAAGGACTTTCACCCTCCAGACATATACACTTATTAATATCATTATATATTCCTGAATGTTTAAATTCAACACGTTTTATGCTGTTAGTATGGTATAATTACTCTTTTCCATTCCCAAAGCGTCACGTGTTTGGTTATTTGGCCTCCTTCAGCCTGCTCCTGGGTTCTGACAGGCGTCCCCCATGGTTTGAAGACTTTGCTCTGTGGTAGGCAAATAAAATGTCCTAGACTCATTTTCCGCTGACCCTGTGATCAGCCATTTTTCCAGGAACCTGATTCCTTTTAGTGACAGGTAACAAAATGTCCTGATTTTAAAGTGTTCAGTAATTTTTTAAAAAAATTCTCACGTCACTCAGGCCCAATACAACACAGGATCTGCAAACACTGTTTGGCCATCAGGCTGCCGGTTTGGGGCCTTTGGACTCTCTGGCTTTGCTCTGTGCATATTGGCTCCAAGGACTTGAGGAGCCAGGGCAGTGGAGGTTTGTTTTGTTTTGACAGCACAGACTGACACTGGACATTTATGTAAACCGGTCGTCAGTGTCACGGAAGACAACGGGAGCAATTTCTTGCCCACAGCAAAAGAAATCAAACAGCCCCTTATCACCCCCTCGATTTGCCCAACAAGTGGAGACCTGTCTAATCTCACTTCTACAAGATAACGTACACACTGCAAATAGTAACCGGCTCTTTTATTTGTTTACCCGAAGATGTTTTGGCTTAGCCCACGGGTGTTTATCCACACAGATTGTATTCTGGCTGCTAGTGAGAGCCCAGGCAATAAGCTGACAGGCAAATATTTCGAGCACAAAAGGAGCAGAGGTCAGCAAGCAGGTGCGTTACTGTCTTCGAGGCCCCCGCCCGGTCCACAAAGTGATTAAGCCCGTTCCCCAATCCATCAGTGTCACGGCATTGTGTCCTGTGTCACACACCAGACCCAAGAAAAAAAAATAGCCCGGAAAGGAGGAGAGAGAATACATTATTTTTAACAAATAATTTTGGATAGATTGGGTGGGTGTACGTGTTGGGAAATGAATAATTGTATTGTTCATAGATGCTATGTTTTGATACATGCTTATACTGTGGCACAATCAAATCAAGGTAATTAGCACACCTATCTCCTCAGATATTTGTCACGTCTTGGTGCACTTGTATGTGAGTGTGTGTGTGTGTGTGTGTGTGTGTGTGTGTGCGCGCGCGCGCACGCGCGTATGCAGGCGTGTTTGCATGAGTGTGTACATGCCGTGGGGGTCAGAGGACAGCCTTGGGTATTGTTGGCCAGACATCACCCACCTTGTGTTTCAAGGCAAGTTCTCTCACTGGCCTGGAACTTGATTAACTGAGGCTGTCTGGTCTCCTGTCTCCGCCTCCCCAGGGCTGGGACTACACGAAGTGAGTGATGTAGGGAGGTAGACCACCCCTGTGTCTGATCGTTTTATGTAGATTCTTGGGGCTGAGCTCAGGCAGGTCTTTATGCTTACAAACACTTTACCAACTGCAATATCTCCCTAGTCCCTGAATATTTGTTAAGTCTTTGCGATGAAAACATTTAAAAATCCCATCTTTGCATAATTTTGAATTATTATTATTATATAGTTATTAACTATACTCACTTTGTCGCAGAGCAGAATGTATAGGCCTTCAAAATGAGTGGCTGTATAATTCATCTTGATTTTTAAAACATTATCTTACTGCTTTCTTTCCCATTTAAATTATTTTTTTATTCCCAACCTACAAGATTTCTAGCCAGACATGCTATATGATACTTTATATCATAAAATAGCCAAGCCACACCTGAAGGTAGTAATTTTCCTGTAGAATGGAATTTGTTTTTAAACTGGGTCAGGGACATGCCTTTCACTTAGGCTTTTAAAATGTTTTCATTCAGTTGTACATTTGGCAGGATTAATGTTTTATTCTGCAAATTTGCTTTCAACAGGCATATTCCCTTGTTAATGATTATCCTTCTTCATTGTTTATTAACCTTAAGGGCCCTCTAGTAAAAATACCAGTGGGTAAAATTGCGTCTCTGAAAATCATTGAACTTGGTCTCCATATCTGCCGGGACAATAGAAAGTGGGAGTTTCTAAACCAACCCGCGTTACCAACCACATTGAGAAACGACGTGCTTCGTAACTGCCGGTGCGTGGTGTCCTCCTCCGTGCCGGCTCAGCGTTATTTTCCACTGTGACCACGGCCGTACCAATCATTCTTTCATGGTATTTTTCACAACAAAACAGCCCAATCGTCCACTGCACACTTCACTGGCCTGCTGGGTTTTCAGAAGGTTCCAGAAGAGATCTCAGGCCAGGAGTCCAGTCAGAAAAGCAGCCTGGCACATTCTGTCCCCCTGTGTGGCCTCCAGCAAGCCTGTGAACAATCCTTAGCCTGCCTTCAGTTTTCCCAGAATGGAGTTTTTCTTTTGACTGCTTTGTTCAGGGTTGTGCCAAGAGGAAGGCAGGCAGTTCTGAGTGCTTCCGTTGTCCCTCTCTTCCGGTGTAGGTCATGAAACTAATGTTTGCCGACTGCCAAGAGCGTCTACCCCAAATTTGCACTTGGGAGTGGAGGGAAGGTTCTTAAGCGTGGCTCTCTTGATCTGTTTGACCCTCTGTGAATCAGAACTCTAACCTGGGGCTCTGAGGACACATTGAGTCTGAGATATCCGTGCTCAGACCTCAGACTTGATCACTTTGTAGGTTCACTTGGAATTGGTCACAGGTCCATTTGGGAGTGCCTATGGTGGCATCGTAGGACCTTTCCACAAAGTTATTATGGTTTGTAAGCTGCATGAAGAACTTCAGTTTTCTATTCTAAAAGCCAACATACATTGGTATGTTTCCAGTTTTGTGTTGGTGTGCATTCCTAGCTACCCTGTGCCTCACGCAGTCTGCGGGCCACGGGAAGGACACCTGTGGTTGAAAGCTACAGACTGTGAACCAGCTTCAGGACCAAGGTGTCCTCCTGACCCCCTCGCCCAGGCCAGTGAATCATGGACAGAGAAGAAGAAGAAGGTGCCTTGAGATGCCAGATCCACACAGTCTGGTTCTGGTTCACTACCCACTGCAGGGATACCACAATGGGCCACAAAAGCCCCCAAACGAGAAGTCCTCTGGGTGCCTCTCGGTTGACTCTCCACCAGACCTTCCAGCAGCCCCATCACTGATGACCACTTCTCTTTTGATGACACACCAGTGGCATCATGCTCCCATCTTCTTTCTTGCCCGTGGGGACCCGCTGTCCTCTCTGCCTCTTCCCCTCGTCTCTGGGTATTCAGGTTCTTTGGACTTATTCCTGTCTTAGCCAACTCGACAGCTTCACCACCACATGGGCAGGGGGGCGGGGGGGGGCTCTCTGGCTTTGTCCGGTTCTAGCTCCAGGCCACAATGCTCAAAAACCCAATGGCACTGGGCAGTGGTGGCGCACACCTCTAATCCCAGCACTCAGGAGGCAGAGGCAAGTGGATCTTTATGAGTTCAAGGCCAGCCTGGTCTACAGAGCGAGATCCAGGAAAGGCGCAAAGCTGCACAGAGAAACCCTGTCTCGAACCCTGTCCCCCCGCCCCAAAAAAAAACCCAACGGCTACTTATCACAGCTTGCTGCACTTCCTTCCGTGGCTTCCCATTGCACCTAAGATAAAGTGCAGCCCTCCAGGCCCTGCAGGAGCCATGTTCTGACTGGCTGGCTGACATTGCCCATGAACTTCACCCTCAAGACACACTCTCCTTCAGTTCCTTAAGTGGCCTAAGGGAAGTCCTCTCCCGATACAGTCCAGCGGTCTTCACTGGTGTTCACAGGGGAAGGAGGTTATTTGTTTGGGCAGGGGTGTGATGGGGTAGGGGGCCAAGAGGAATCAGTGCTTTCTTGTGTTGGGGTGAGCATTCTTTGATGGATGCAATGTTTCAGTTTTGCACATAGAGTTCTAGAGATGGATTGGGTGTGAGAAATAATCCTCACTTTTTAATAAGAACACTGGAGTCTGGGAACACAGCAGTTTGCTTTACAACTTTGCTAAGCTGGGCATCAGCCCAGAGAAAAGGTCTTTGGATTCAGTACAAAATAGTGCTTTTAAAAATCCTCATCACAGGGCTCAGTGGTTAAGAGCACTGTTAAGTAGCTGTTCTGGCCGAGGACCAAGATTTGATTCCCAGCACCCACGTGGCAGCTCACAACCACCTGTACACTCCAACTCCAGGGGATCTGATGCCCTCTTCTGACCTCCACCAGGCACCAGGCACAAGCGTGGCAAACAGATAGACATGCAGGCAAAACATTCACACACACACACACACACACACACACACACACACACACACACACA